TGCAAGTTGCTCTGCACAAGTGCTGCCGGAGCTGCGGGAATGTACTTCGCGTACAATGTTTTTACTTAAAAGTTGCTATTTTGCAGCCGGAGCTGCGGGAGTGTACTCCACGTATTATATTTGTACTTACAAGTTGCAATTTTTGAGCCGGAGCTGCGATCCGCGTACTACGTTTGTGTTTAAAGTTGTGATTTCTGTCTAGAAAAGTTGCCGCGGTCCAGGCGGGAATCGAACCCGCGACCACGCGACTCCGACGGCAGCCGCGCAAACCACGCGACAACTTCCAAGACCAGTTCGCAAGCAACAAATTTGCACGGCGCCGCAGCGAGAGCGCTTCGACACGCGCGATCCCGCAGAGGGTTCATCGGGCACTTTGCAAATTCGCACGGCGCCGCAACGAGAGCGCTTCGACCACGCCGATCTGCGCAGAGGGTCGCGGAAACCGCAGAAATCACAAAAAGTTCTCAGTTTTTTAACCTCGACCACACGAATCTCCGCAGAGGGTCGCGCGGGCAGATCAGGAATCGTAAGAAGTCCGCAGTTTTTTGAACATTGACCGCACGAATCTCCGCAGAGGGTCGCGCGGGCAGATCAGGAATCGTAAAAAGTCCACAGTTTCTCAACATCGACCACGCCGATCTCCGCAGAGGGTCGCGAGCACAGATCAGAAATCGTTCAAAGTCCACAGTCGTAGAGTGCTGCCGGCCCTACTCCTCCGCCCTAAGCAGGGAAGAGCGGAACTTAAAGCTCCTCTCATTGAGAACTCTCATGAGCATTGCTCCTCGCCAGTGACTTTCACGAGCACTGCAAGTGACTCTCATGAGTATTGATATCTCTTCGCAATAACTCTTGGCAATGATTCTCATGACTCTGTGCAGTGACTCTATTGATGATAACTCTTTGCAATGACTCGCATGATGATAACTCCCATGAATCCAACGGAAGAACCCTTCGCCATGCTTTCGGGAACTTCACGGGGAGGGGAGACCAATTCCTGCAAAGATTCTCCATGCTTTTCCGCCTTTGGGGAAGTATGCGAAAAGCTCGCGACTCGTTCAGAACAATGTTCTTCCGGCCGCTCTTCGGATGTTGTGCTATATCAATGACGAGTATTTTGCAAATGGTAAACGCCCCAGCAAGATTCATGCTACTTTTGACCCACGAATTGCTGACTGGCGCAACATTCCATTCGTCAACGCTTTTACACTGCACACGTAGGCGTCCTTCTTGCTTCGCTCCGAACACGCATGTGGCACTTGACCCTCATAACTCTGCGGTTTTCTTGAGTTTGAAGCATTTGAATCAGTTCCACTTGAATTCTGCTCAGCTTTGGACAGCGCCACTGTGCGTCATTCTCTTCGTGAAACCGTCGTGGCGTTGCCAAGTGCTTTGCTCACGCCTGGCGTCCACTTTGGCAGTTGAACGTCTCTGCGGGTGCAGTTGTGGATTATGCAGAGGCTGCCAAAGAGCAGACAAGTTCGCAAAAGGCAAAGAGCGTAGCAGGAGTGGGAGCAATCGGCTTGCTGCGGTTGGGCAACGAGGAGGCGGATGGTAAGGATGAGGTGGAGGAGTGGGGGTAAGGAGATCGGTCGAGATTCTTGGAGGATCTCATTCTGCATGACCCCTCCTGATATTGCGCATTTTGTGGTTGGTAGCAGGATCAGGTGCCAGAAGCGCGATCTTGAAGCGACCTCAGCGCGCGAAGCCTGAGTTTGGTGAGCGCTTGCTTGAGGAAAGCCAGCCAGCCTCCCCCAGTTTACAAAGATGCGCCTGAGCCCGGAGAGCTGAGGCCAGTTCTGGCCTGTACCCTCTGCAGGCCGCTGGCCACCTTTGCGTCGGAGGAGAATCAGCGTGCGGAGCAGCTGTATAGAAAGCCCGCCACCGTACCCGGGTTACGGGTGGTTAGTGAGTGCTGCTTGAACAACCAACCCCTTGTATCCCGCCCTCTGTGTAGTGAGCGCGCCCTTCCACATAGTGTCAAGGATTTTTGGCTTGCTGACTCCAACTTGGCCTTGGGCGAAAAACCCGAGTGTGCTGTGGGCAATTTCCAGAATGGTGGTAAGCACGCTCATGTTCAATAACATCTCAACATGTGTTGCGAGCGTGGCCCAGGTGTCCAAGGCGAATTGATTATGTTGCAGTTGCGCGTGGCCTGTGCGTACCAGGATAGGTTTAGGCGTGGGCGTGCCGCAATGTTGACTGGACAACTTTGGCCGAGCAGTTGTGACCTTGACACGCACCTGCGCCTGACCCACGCTTTGCGTGATGCAGCTGCTCTGTGTTTCCCTAAGCAAGCGCAGCTAAAGAAGCCTTGGAAGTTCGACGGCGCTTGGGAGCTTTACAAAGTTCGCGAAATTGCACGCAAAGGCCTTGCCAGCAAGAACGCAGATCTTGGTTGCCGGCTTTCTTTGTTGCTTGGGGTTGCCACTCTTGCCAGCGCCAAAGTTTCGCTCGCGCCGTGAACGTCCCGATCAAAGCGCTTGCTATGCGTGTGTGTTTCCAAAAGCGTGAGTCAGCTCATTGAGATTAACGAGGTTGTTGCCAGCGAAGTCAGAGAAGCCAAGGCCAAGCACATTGAAGCAGTTGCACACGCGCACTGTGACACAGAGTTTCTTGGTGGGCTTTGGACAGTCTGAAGCGGCTGCTCCCTCGCAGTTGGGTCCAAATTGCCCGAGAAGCTTGCGCAGTCGGCAGATCCGCAATTGGCTGCGCAGGGGCTGTGGAATCAGGCAAGCTCGTGATGAGGCGGTACGAGTTGAGAATGCCACCCTGGACTGTCTTCCCACTTTGCTTGACCCCGATGTTGACGTGCCAAACTTCAGAAAAGCAAGGCTCCAGGAGAAGCGGGGCTGTTTGGTGAACTGTTCTCTGCGTCGCCGAACCTGGAGGGTTATCGTTCAGTGCTCCTCACCATCACTGGGGCAAAGCTTTTGCAGTCTTCTTTTTTGCAGAGGAGCGTACCAGGATGTCAAATTTGGCGGTCAAATCGAGCAACAAACCGCCTTTCTTTGCAGTCCTTTACGCGCACGTCGGAAGGTTCTCTCTACTACCTGCATGACGCACGCAAGCCTGCCAACATGGCCGCCCTGCAGCTGTTGAACTCCGTCAGTTGCGTGGCTCTGGACAGGTTGCGTGTGCCAGGACTGGAAAGCGTCCGGGCCAACGGCTAGCGGACTTGCTGTGGAATCTGCTTGCTTTTGGAGCCATATCCAGCATGGAGAAGGAAATGCATCACGAGGGCTTGACAACCGCCAGTCATGTTGATCGGGGCCCCCGTAGCTTGGCGCGATAACTTCTGCTTGCTTCTTGCGCAGACGTCAGCAGCAGATGGCCTGTAGCAGCAGTTCGCGCAAGCCGTGGGTTCACCAAGGCTGCGGAAAGACGGAGGCAATCGTGCTGCTGGCTGGCACAGGCGCGAGGCGCGCCGTATGCGCCGCAGTCAGACAACTCTGTCCCCCTGCCTGTCGCGATACCATCACTTGGAGTCTCACATCCACGCTGAAGCAGACCTTGGTGGCGAGGCTAGGGTTCGAATTGCTTCTGCGAGCTAGGCTCTTCAAAAATGGTTTGCTGAAGAGCTCATTTCCCTGCAGACGGGTTTTGGAGGCCACTGTGCTGTCGAGGCTTTTCTTTGGTGCAGGAACATGGGGCGTCCTTGCGCAAGGAGTTTGGGCTTCTCGGGTAAAGTTCTACCGCCGTGCAGTGCGTGTTGCCGGCCTCGCGCGCAAGACTGGCACGCAAGACTGGCACGCATGACGTCAGCAGTGATGTCGTTCTTGCCAAAGCCAGGGGGCCAGCGCTTGATGCGCAGCTTCGTCTCCTTCGCCTGCAGCGCCTAGGGCATGTTCCGCGCAATGCGCCGGAAAGCCTGCGCGCACTTTTGTTGAGAGAGGAAGCGTCCTGCAGCAACTGCTGGCTTGACCTTGTCAGGGCCGACCTAGTTTGGGCACGGTTCTGGCTGCTGGACCAAATCTGACTTGAAGCAGGATTTGTTTGTTTTTACGTGTTTACATTCGTGAAGCACGGCAAGCGTTGGGCTATGTGGCTGAAAGACGCGCGTGCTTCTGCTGTGGCAGGGCATTGTATTCGTGTAGAGCCGCGACGGCGTTCAAGTTTCGAAAGCTTGCTCTTTCCTGGGAGGGGGGACGCAGGCGATGTTGTGACGCCCGCCCAAGCCTGCAAGCTTCACTGGCCTGCCCGGATTGTGACAAAGCTTTTGTAGAACAGCGCTTCACTCGCTAATCATGCTAAAGAGTCGGATGTGCAGCTCTACTGCCAGACCAGCGTATGCCCGTGCTTGCTTGACTTCTTCCATCACAAGCGCTGAACCATGCCTGGAGTGGTGGACATGCGCAGAGGCTTGTGTATCTATAAGGGTACCCTTTTCAGACTTACCCATAGCTTGCTTGTTCTGAGGAATCGCGGGGGGTTGTCCTTCGTGTCCGTGATGGTTGCAAGGCCAATTCCCACACGGAGGACAAGCAGCTGACAGGATTTGTCAACTTAAAACATGGGCGCATAGCCTAATTTTCCGGTTTACTATATTTTTGAGAAACAGAAACGGTCACAAACCAAACCCGCGTAGGTCGGCTACATGTTGGTTCCCTTCATCAAAAGGGCGCCAAGTCTCGACTTTGAATGTTTCTGTTCTGCCAATATTTTGCCAAAGCCAAGCAACAAGAATTCACCCAAAATAACATTTGGAGCGAGAACCGGTGCCCCTCGACAGCCATGAGACGAGATTATGCATGAAACACCGTGGGACAGTTCCTACTTTAAGAAATGTTCCAACACAGCTATACTCGAGTTGCGCCGTTTACCCGTTGGCTGGGGAATTAAAATTCCAACGCGCACTTTGATTAGATTGGGATAGCCATGGTTAGAGCGCCTGGCCACTGGCGAATTTTGGTGAACATGTAAATCTTGATCTTAGGGCCATTTACAGGCCTTTTGGCGTGGCTTGAACAAGTAGGACTGGTCCCACTTGTCGCGAGCTTCAGGCCGGCGACTTGGAAGCTGACGCGTCGGGCGCCTCCGGCCTTGACACATCTGATGAGGCGAGGGGCCGAAGCTGACAGGTCTGTGGATTTGTGCTTGAGGCAGTGCTGCCAGATGCAGGGTCAACCCCTGTTTGATTTTGATTGGGAAAATCCGGATGAAGATTGCGTGGCGCCGAAACACCGACAGCAAGAGAAACAACAAAACATATTCTTCCAGACTGTGGCTATCAACGGATGTGGGGGCATGCTTAGACTGCACGAATTCAACGTTGCTTTTTGCCACTTTGGTGGCCATGTCGGACAACCTCATTCCCAGCCCCCACACCCGTGCTCGCCTAAATGCCTTGAGCAGGCCTTGTTTGGTGTTCCTTGACTAGAGCACTCAAGTTGCATATTTGCATTTGCAACTTCCCTAGTGATTAATTTCATGCAGCTTCACCTATGGTTGAGGCCCCGTTCCTTGAATTGCGGCCGGCAGTCAAAGCGGGTCCTCCGCAACAACCTCCGGAGAACTGCGAGCCAACTTAGTGTGGCCTGGCTGATGGGTTTCTTAGAAGTGGATTTTCCCAAGAGGCTACCAGCTCCAAGCAAAAGGAACCACACTCAGATGTCGTTGAAGCATTCTTTGACCATGCGTTGGTGGTCCAAGTTAGAAGCTGCCTGAAGGGTTTAAAAGGATGATGGGCTCCCGCACCTTCTAGACAGGCTTGATGACTCGATCAGAACCCCATAGAAGGTTCCTGAGAACTTTTCCTTGTGGAAATGTCGGGGGGGCCTTCAAGTTTCCTAATTAGTCAAGGGCTGAGCTGGATCCTTCGGGTCTCAACACCCGGGCCGCTTTCCGCACGTCTGGAGTGAAGTTCGGATGCAGTTTTCGGATAAGAGTGAAGCAAACAATGTTTCTTAAGGTGGCCTAGATCCAATTGTAAACTGTCTTGGGCAGTAAAACCCTTTATGCAAATCAGGCGGTCAACTCAGCAAGTCAGATCCATTGACGACCTTGGGTACGGTAGTTTAGCCGCCTTACCCACACACTCTTACACTTCATTTTGAGTTGGCAGTCTCCCTTCAAACCTGCTTTTGGGCCGGGCTCGGAAGGCCCAGCCGATGAAATGTTTGAGGAGTGTGCACAGATTAGCCCGTGTTAGAAATATTCGGTGTTCGCGACAGAAAGCCACACAACGTCGCCCTCATTGGCTTTGCATCATGAGTCAACACGGACCACCCATGTTCTGGTTCCCTTATTTGGAGGCAAGCCTAGAAACAGCATTTTTTGCAATATCATTGGAACGACAGGTAGACAGCGCGGAGCCATTTCTTTTCGACCTTTTTGATCCAATACCCTGTGGGCTACAGGTTGGGCAATTTGGATGGTGTCAGGAACCAAAAACCCGAGAAGTCGTGCGCTGAGTTGATGTCCACCATGGGCCGCGATGTCTCAGAGCCCTGGCGGCCTCTCCCGATGAAGCCGGCGTTGCGAGTGCCCGAGGGTTCTGGGGTACTCCCGCTTCTGCCATGGCAAATTAAATTAAAATCTAGCGACCCCCCTTTTGGAGGCAGACCAGCTTTCCCACATCCAAATTGAGGTGTCGGCCCCTTTTCTGGGGACTACAACGATGTTCTGCCAGTGATGATAGGAGCTCCGCTTCGGATCGCAGGAAAGTATTATTCACCACAACGCATGCCTTCAGTTTATGCGGTTGGCCCAAACGTCCCACCAAAACCAAGCGCTGCGGGGGGGGGGGTTGTTGATTGAATGGGGTGTTGTTCGGCCGGCAAAGGGGAAGTTGTTGTTGGGGGGTGTTGGTGGAGCAAAACCGAAGTGGGGGGGACAGTGTTGGAGGCAATCGTCGGTTCATGTTTCCCATGACGTGGTCCCAAAACAAGCAAAAACTGGCGGCAGAGGAAAGTGGAAGCTCTGCTCTACAAGAAGGGCCTTGAACGAAAAACACAAACAAACGTCTTGGGCATCGAGCCGAGGTCCCAGGGCTCTTAACCGCAGCCATTTTTGGCATGTGCCGTAGCCATTGATACGTGACCCAGTTCGGTTTCGGGCGTGATAAGAAGTGTCACTTGCTTTTGTGACTCGGATATGTTTGATCCGTATTGCACCTACACATTTGTACAAACCCAAAGTGGAGTCGCATCTCATTAGTTGTGAAGACGCATTGACTTGAAGAATAAGGACCATGTGGTCCCTGTGAAACTATCGACTCACTCACTTCTGAAAGAGAGTTTCGAAGGCGATGAAGTTGGATGAAGCCAAGAGAATTGACACAGTGAGGGTGTCGAGCTCCATCCTCCAAAATCGTTGCCCTTATTGTAGTGTCCCTTGTGACTGCGTGGATGGGGTCCGCCAGTTTCTGACTCTTGCGCCGAGGTGTCTTCTTCTGTCGAACTTGCTTTTAGTGTAGACCGCGACAAAAGCGCCTAGCATGCTTAAAGCTCCTTGCACATGGCACCTGATAGTCTGCACTGATGTTGCTTTCGTACTCCCTCAGTCTGTCCTCATCCATTTCTCCTTCTGTAGATCAGCTGTGGGCCTGGGAGTGTCACCTTCAAAACCGTTGTTCTGCTCTATGACGGTGGTGACAACCTCATTGTCAGGTTGTTCTTTTGTTTTGTGGCATCTGTGACGCCTAACCCTTTCTTCCTAATAATGAACTGTTCAGCCTGCGTTGTTTAGTGTGCGCGTCAAACGGCAAAGGGGAACCCCTTGGCTTTGCAGAAAGAGTGCTCAAAATGCAATTTCCGTGTAAGAACTACAAGCAGGAGCAGCCCCCGCTTTTTCAAAAAAAACGAACAACCGAACAACCAAACAAAGCCTTGTTTGTCACCAAAACGAGACTTTCTGAAGGCAGCCCGGAGACCCTAACAAAGAAACTCTGCCACGCAGTGCAACCATTTAGGGAAGAAGCGCTCAGAATAATCACAACTTTTGAGTCAGACCAGGGTGACCCCTAATAAGCAACTCTGAAAAGATTTTTTTTGTGAAACGCCCCCTCCCCCTACTATAGTACTTAGCACTTGGAAACTCATCAGCCAGTCACTCATCCCTCAAATCGTTTGAGGACATGCAATAAAATAATTATTGGCAATGATGCCATATCTTTTTTATGAGAAAGGTTAGAATAGGACACATTATCAAAGGCTATGCTAAATTATGATAGGTTATCATAAGCTATGATGATGAACTATGACACACCACGACAACTGGTGATAAGCCATGATGCTGAAGTATGATAGATTTTGAAACAAAATGTCATAGACTGCAAAATTGTGATAAAGTTTGAAAACTATGGCAAGAAGCCACCATCAACTATGCTGAACTATGAATAGCTATGATGATGAACCAGGTTGAGTCATGATGAGTTTTGACAAGTTGTGACCAGTTGATCAATTATTTGAGGCCATGGTGATTAGTATCTGTGATGAATGATGAGAAGCTATGAAAAGCTAGGACGATGAACTATGATGAATTATGTTACATCATGGCAAGCTGTGATAGCATATGATGAACTATGATAGTCCACGACAAATTATGACAAGCTATGATGCTCAATTACGATGAATTCTGACACGTTATGGTAAGCTACAACGATAACAAAAAGGTATGATGATGAAGCATTACGAGCTATGTGAAAAAGTTATGATACATTCTGATGATTCGGTTCTTATGACAAAGTATGACGAGGTGTGATGATAAATTATGACAAATTATGCTGAAATGACCAAACCTGAGAAGTTATGTTGCATTGCGCCTACTGGCGCATCTAGTCGCCTGCTCCATTGTCCACTCGTATGCCCGCTCGCGCGCACGTCTGCTCGTTCGCGCACTCGTGCGCCTACTCGTCCGCTTGTACGTTCACTCGTACGCCTACTCGTCCATCCATGTGTCCAGTCGTGCGTCCACTCATACGCTTACTCGTCCACTTGTACGTCCGCTACTTGCACGCCCGCACGTACAGTTTCAACAGACAAACCATGCTCTTACTTTTGCTAACGAAACAGACAATGTAAACAGTTGCTTGGGCAACAAACCTTTTGTGAGTGAGGGGCGTCAGGCCTTTCAAAGCTGATGTATGAAAGATAGGTTCCAAACTTGTGGCGCTTGTCAGTCTGTGCTGGGCTGTCAGCCTCGCATTGGCCTGTGTGTTGATTGGTATGGCGTGCCATGTGCAGTTTTCAGCATTGTCGCGGCTAGTAGCACTGGCCTGCCTCGATTCGTGTCACGAGCGGCGAGTGGTTCAAGCCGATTTCACAGACCGGTAGGTGGTAGGTAGCCCACGGCGCTGCTGATCAGCAAGCAGCAAGAAAATATCACCAGGAAAGACTTCAGGGATACACGAACAACAGCAGGGATAAGCGAATCAGACCTTGCCCGCACGATGTCTGACTTCATGGTAGACATTGCGGTCCTGTGTGCCACGCGCTACATCTGGGCCACAAGCTCATACTTCATATGTTGTACTGCACTCATTGCCAGCAGATTTTAGACTGTGTCATAGACTCTGACACGGCCAACATACGTTTTGGTGCACTGAGGTATTTGTGTGGCCCACCAACTGGCGCACGTTTACACTCCTAACTGCAAACGTTTCAATTGGCATTTCGAGGACGCCTGACAAGTCTACCAAAACAGGGAGGGGCATGACAGGGATCAGCCCCAGTCATTGTCTTGTCTTGGCTTGCCAAAGGGGTGAATAATACTGAATGATGACAAGCTTGCCAAGCTGCCACAGCCTCCCAGCTGCCATCAACGTAGTATAAGTGCTGTTTCGTCATAATTCGGCGCCGTGCTGGATCCGCAATGTTCAGTGATTCAGAGTGACACCAGTGCGCAAAAAGAGTTGGCAAGTGCCCCCCGGCTGCTAGATGTACTACGTTACGGAGACAAATGTGTGACTTTTTACTAGTTTTAGAACGCGACTTGTCTGGCTTTGCAGTCTCACACACTGGGTCGAGGCTTTAGGAAGTACTTCTTCAGCGTGCTTTTTGAAGCTGTTGACTCCTTCACTTGTGTCTTTGAGCTGTGCGTTGTCGAGCAGTTTGCGACACGGGAGTGTGTGTGCGGCCCGTGAGTCTGCTATCGGGGAGAGGCCCCCACTATTGTGACTGCGATCCAATTACCCACAAGTTGCCCAAATCTGCACCAGCTAACTCTTCCGTCGTGCCTGACGGCATCTTGGCGGTCATCGATAAGTTCAGTGTTTTTCCGCTGTGCTGCTCATAGGACGCCCTGCGCTTGTGTAGGCTCACGAAGCCTTTTCATTTGATGACACCTTTTTGGTTCTTGTCTGGAATAACTGGTTCTGGGCAGAAAGACAGCATTGGTCTGCTTCAGTCTCAGAACCTGGTTTCTGATGGTGAGGGTCGCTCTGGAAGTTCCTGGTGAAATGCCTGCAGGAATACGCAGAAAGCGAGCGCAGCAAGTCATTGTTCCTTTATGGCTTGCAAGCCATGAGCTATGCTCTACAAGAAGGGCCTTGCTCAATGCATCATGTGGGAAACAACATGATAGATTGCTCGGACAGGGCCCAAGGCTGGGGGGGGTTGTTGATTGAATACTTCTTTTGATGCAACCGGTATGCAGATGAGTGCGTCCGCAGAGCGGAGCCGGAGCTGAGCCGGAGAAGTTCCAAAAACTGTTTGCAAGGTCTTGAGCCAAAACTCAGGCCCGGCTTTAAGGACATGACTTCGGGAATTGGGTGTGTTTCAGACCTACATTTTGTGAGAACCAGGCAACCCCCTTTAAAGTGACAAAGAAGTCACAGGGATGGAACGCACGCTGTGGCATCACAGAAGCCGGCCAACGTCTTACAAGCATGTTGATGGTTAGTAAGGCTAAGGGACATTCCCAACATTTAAGATGGTTCCCCTTACTTGCCTTCATGTGTTTGCGTGCGTGTGTGTGTGCCATGATTTTAGGCGTGTGGGGACGGTTTTGAAGCCAATGGTAGGTTCATGTTTTCTGTGACGTGGTCAAAACAAGAACAAACTGGCGGCAGATGAAAGTGGAAGCCCTGCTCTAGGCCTTGAGCCATAATGCATCATGTGTGAAACAGGATGATAGATTGTTGCAAGGCCAAGCAGTGCATGGAATCGAGGTCCCAGGGCTCTTTCTGCAGCCAGTTTTGGCATGCGCCGTAGCCACGGACACGCGGCCCAGTTCGATTTCGGGCAGGAAAAGAAGGGCGCCCAAGTATGCTACACGGGCCTTTTTTGACTCGGGCATGTTTGATCCGTATTGTATCTACATGATTGTACAAACTGATTGCAACTGCTCTCCAATTCCCACACAGGAAACGGCAAGCAAAAGTTGATACCTGCATGTGCCAAAGTGGAATTGCATCTCATTGGTTGTGAAAACGCATTGACTTGAAGAATAAGGACCATGTTGTCGCTGTGAAAGATAGTCTTGAAGGCGATGAAGTTGGTGTC